CTAGCAGGTAGACCATCTGTCCCTTTACCTGGCTCTGCCTCTCCCAGGTTTGAGTCTTTCTCTCTGTGGCCCCAGGCTAGTGAGCTTAGAGTCAGGAGGAAGAGGCAGGGGCAGTTCCCAGGCTGGCTGTGGAATTTCCAGGTGGTTGGACAACATTCCAGCTCCTCCACTAGGTGGCTTCAAAGTGTGCCATCCGCCTGGCTGATATTCCCTGTTCAGCTTGGCAGGGGAGAGTATCCTGTCATCTTCTGGAGACCACTGCTGCTGCCTCTCTCTGCAGGGCAGAGATTCCTGAGGAGAAGCAGAGAATCTAGACCTGGAAGGAGGGAGGAGGGAGGGCACTGGGCAGTTGGGAAGTCCCAGTTCTGCCATTTCCCAGCTGTAGGCCCCAGACAAGTCTCTCAATTCTGAAACCCAAATCTCAATCTTCTCTTACTAGAAGAACAAAATCTGCCCCTGAGGTTGCTAAGATAGTTAAACAAGATGATTCAGACTCATTTTATGAAATAATAAGTTTCAGCACATGGAGAGGGCAAGAATGGGTGGAGCCATCCCAGGAAGACAAGAGGGCCAGGAAGCCTCACAGGAATTAAGGAGAGGGTACAGATAGACTGACCAAAGATCACACTGAAGGCCATCCTCAGGGGGAAAGCAATCTAGGGAGCCCCCCTAATTGTCAGAGCCCTACACACTCCTTCCCTCCTCACCCATCAGAGGCGACCATATCCATGCCTGTCCCTGTGTAGGGTACCTGGGGACTCTAAGGTCAGACACTTCTTTGGGAAATGCTTGTGTGTTTGTGTGTGCATGTGCGTGTGTGTGCGCGTGTCTTACTGAGGTTTGAACTCAGGGCCTTGAGCTTGCTGAGCAGGTGCTCTATCCCTTGAGCTACTCCACCAGCTCAAACCCTTCTTTAATCACTGTCAAGTGATCACTATTGAGATGGAGGGAGGCACACCCAGAAGCAGGCAATGACAACTCAGGGTGATTAGGCCTGAAGAAAGCCAGTGAGGTCCCTATAAGGAAAGGAGGGGTCATCAGGGCCTTCCCTAGAGGACAGGGCACCTGACCTGCATCTTGGAAGATGAGTAGAAGTCAGATGTGGAAAGAGAGAAAGAGAGAGAGAGAGAGAGAGAAGAGTGAACAAGAGCGAGGGCAACAACCGAAAATGTTAATCACCCCTGTAGCTTGAGATTAGTGGAAGGCAAGGCTGGCTGCATAGGACTAGGTGCATAGAAGTCACCCCCTGTTGGTTCCCAAATGACCTCCAAGGGGTTACAGGCCAGCAAGCCCCCCAGCCTTGCTTGATGTGTTACACTATGAGGGAGGAAGCAACCAGGCTGGTTGGGGAAACAGTCGAGGGGTAACCTCAGATGTTATCAGATGGTGCCTTCATGGTAGGTGGCCTCCCTTCCAGAAGGACCTCAGGCTCTGTAGTCCCCTTCCGAGATTCCTTCCCTCTGAGATCTCAGAATCCTTGCTGTGGGGCCGTTCACTGAGGCTGAGGTCAGAGTATCTGAGTGAAAAGATCTTAGATCAGCCAGGCTTACAGAGCAGGAAACCGAGACCCCCAGAAGAAGGACCTATTCAACCAGGGCAGGACTCCAATCACTGCTCCCACCAGGGCCAGCCCAGCCCAGCCCAGGGCTACAGAGACAAGCTGCTGAACTGAACAGGCTCAGAACCACAATGCCCTGGACTTACTCACCCCTCACCCCCAAGCCTATCACACCCAAATGCCTCCAGCAGACTCAAGAGGCAAGAACCCTAGGTTCCGGCTCCAACTTGGAACCTGTGATATGCTGTTAATCTTAGTCAAATCTTGGGTTCCTCCCTGGGCAAGCTGTTAGTCTGATTGTCTCCCTCGGAGTGCCCCCAGGATTCCAAGGTCATTGGTTCTCAGAGTTGAATTCCAAGAGTGCCTGGTTCTGAAGGGACTGCTAACTGTTCCTTCAGTTTTGTTACTGTACTTCAGACAGCCTCTGGTTTGAATATTCTCAGACCCACAGGAGTTTGAGCTTGGTAACATGATCACAGTCGTGATCACCAAAGTCCCAGCAAACACTTCTTGATGCCGTGTGCCTGGCTTGAGAGGGACCCTGCAAACCCAGCCTCAGATCACAATCTGCTGGGTCCTTGAGGAGCTCCCAGGCTGGCTGGGGGAAGGACACTGGCATGGACAAGTCCACTTGGGTAATTCAGCATGACCAAGGAGCCCACAGAAATTCCTACCAGTCCAAGGCAGTAGGGAGGCTTCTCAGAGATGCTGGTCTTTGACAGATGATCTGGGGTTTGTCAGGTGGACAAAGACATGGGAGGGCATTGAAGGCAGGAGGGGCCAATGCTAAGACAAAATGGGTGAGGGTGCAGCCTGTCTGTGAAAAGCCAAGAGATCCTATGTGGCTGGCATGGAGGGTTAAGTGGCATGGAATGTGTGGGGGCCTGAGGAACGCCTATGAAAGGGCTCAAATGCCAGGCTGAAGAGCTTGGCCACTATTTTGGCTTAAGGAGAGAAAGTCATGGTTAGAGCTGACCTTCACAAAGATGTTACCACATGGAATGTAGTTATGACTGGGGAGTCCTACCCAGGAGATGAGGGAGGAGACTGTACATACAAGGGTGTGGTGAAAAGAGATGGTCCCTTGGTCCTGGCCTCCCTGTGAGATGGAGAGCATCTTTCCTGCCCCCAGACCAGCCATGGCAGGAGTCTTCCTCCTACAAACTGGCCTGAAAGGCTGTCCACTCATCTAGAAGCCATATTTATGAAGTCTGAGCAAGATCCTCAGTGCCCAGGCCTCTCCTCTGTAGAGCTGTAGTAACAGCGACAGGGTACCAAGATGGAGGACCGAAAGCTGCCCAGCAGGGCCTCGGCTCCCCACACTCCCAATAGGGACTCCTGCTACTCATCTCAAGCTAGAAATGACCCAGGCCTAGGAAGACTAGGTGATCCAGCATGGAGGAATTCCTCTACTAAAGAACCCACTGTGGCTCTCTATGGAATAAGGCCACTCTCCTCTGTATTTCACTGGATCAGTCATTTCCCAAGTGCTCCGTGGCACCTGCTCTGTGCTCCATCTGTGCTGGGGATAGGAACAGAGTGAAAAAAACCAGAGATGGCCTGGCCTTGTCCTGCAACTGACCTCTCTCTAGGATGGGTACAGAGGTCAAGGAGGGCCCCATAGCCAGCTTCCCCTGATTAGGGCCCAGTAATAAGGAAAGGCCAGACCTGAGGACCCAAGGGCAGTCCAAGAGGAAGGTGTGGACAGAAGGGTGCACCAGACAAGCAGGTAGGGGAAAGGAGAGATATTGTTGGGGCACTTCTGCCTTCCCTCCCCAAATCAGCAAGGCTTCCCTGGTGCTATGAGCAGGCCACAAGAAAGCCCCAAGATAGGCTCTGAAGACAGGATTCAAACTCCTTTCAACCTGAAAGCCAGAGGACCACCTTGCCCTGATGAGGCTTGTCTTGGATGGGAGGGCTAAGCTGGGGCAGGTAGGTAGAAGCCCCAGGTTTCACCTTGGCTTTGTAACCTTGGGCAAGACCCTCTCAGAGTTTCTATTTCCTTATCTGCAAAATGGAGATAATAATTATTTTCTCACAGGGTCACTGGAGGATAAAAGAGAATTTTTGTAAATTGTCAATAGCAAGCTATCTCTGTGGAGGAGGTTATGTGGAAAGGAAGGCATTCAATAATTAAATTCCAATAATGAGATAATCAGCACAATCCCTTGCTATTGCATCTGTGCTCACTAGAGTCTTCAAAAGGTCTTTAAGCCTACATATCACATTCCTCCCCTGTGTGCGCAAACCCCTTTCCCGGGCTAGGGGGTAGCTCAGTGGTACAGCACATGCTTGGCATACACCAGACCCAAAGTTCAATTCCCAGAGTGTGGTGCACGTGCAAGCTTATGCACGCGCACACACACACCCCACCTGCCTGGTCCTGGCCTATGTCTTAAAAATCCACACAGCAACCTTGCTTTCAAAAATACAAGGATCATCATTCCTAACTTATAGATAGCAAACTGATGCCCAGAGAGGCACAATGACCTTGCTAAAGGTTACAGCCACAAAATCAAAGCTCTCATGGGGCCACTCATGAGGCGTGGATCTGGAAACCTCGGAACTCTGCGCATTCTAGGCAAGAGGAGGAAGGTATGGAAGGGCCACAGCCTCACTCTGCAGCCACACTAACCCTTTCTAAGGGTTGCCTGCCTTGTCCTTGTCCTCCTTGAGTACCTATGTCCATAGGCTAGGTGACAGGCCTTCTCTGCAGGGCTTCCTCATGCACATACTCTCTCATCCAGGGCCTTACTGGTGCTGGCCTCCTTTTTTAGAGGCTTGTTGCTCACAGACTCTTCTTTCTCTTACTCCCACCCACAGATAAATGAGACTTCCCTGGTGCCTTAACCTGATCCTCAAAAAATCATCATTACCCCAGCCTAGATTCCCTGTGGACCCAGGGAAGCTGAGGATTCCATGCTGAGGAGAACAGGAACCATTCTGCCCATGGAATCCAGAAATTGGCAGTGCTACTTCCCAGCAGGACCTGCACTTGGGCCTGACTCCAGGGGGTGGAGGTGGGGGGAGACCCAGCTGGTCACTGCAGTCCTAGTAGGGGTTGGGCACTGTCTTTCTCCTGACTGATCCTTCCTACAACACCTCTTGCCAGTTTAAAAGTCTTCTGACAGATTAAAGACTTAACTGTCCTCTCTAGCCTCCTCCCCCTTTCAACGCGACTGCCTCCCTCCCACCCTAGGACAAATGGGCCACCCAGGGTGACCCTAGGAGGAGGATGTGAGCAGCACTCCAGGTTTCCAGGGTTCCCGAGTCTCTGGCCAGGGCCCCACGCTCCAGGGGCAGCCACCTCAGGACACACACAGACAAGTTCCACAAGTTCAGTTACTTGTCCCCCTGGGGCGGTGCACTCACCCACCAACACACAGACTTCCCCAATACCCGGTACACACACCCTGCTGCCAGGGAGACAGTCCACACTCACCGAGATCCACGCTCCAGCTCCAGCGGAGGCAGAGTTCAACCACCACTGTTCAGCTATGCGCTACACCTAGACTCGGAACCGGACCCCACCGGGTCACAGCCCCACGCACCCGGCTCTCTCCCTGCCCACAGCTGAGTCGGCACCCGCGCCAGTCGGACCGGCCGCCTCCCGAGACCGCGCCCTGCGACCTCTCGCCGTGTCCCGTCCCCTCCAGGCGGCCCGCTCTTCGCCTCCACGCTGGGCTACTGCTCAGCGGTCCCGCGTCGCCAGAGCCGCATCCCAGCGCCGCGCGGGGTCCCACGTGCCCGGGAGCCAGCGCCGGGGCCCCCGCCGCGTCCTGCCCAGCCTCGCCCCGCTCCCCTCCGCGCGGCTCCGCCAGGAGGGGGCGGGGCGGACTCTGGACAGACGCTGGAACCGCCCCCCACCCGCCCGGATAGACACCTCGCCACCGAGTCACCCGCTTGGGGACGCCGCCCTGCTCCATGGCCTCCGGGTCAGTGCGTCCGCAATGGGTGCTGCGCAGGGATGGGCGGGTCGGCCGAGGCCACCCGCCTCGCTCCCACAAACAGGGAGCACGTGAGGAGAAGTTTTCGGAGTCACCAAAGTTTTACAAGGTTTGCTGGGTGCCTGTCACTGACCACTGTAGGACCTTTGCGCTGATCCGCTGCCTCCACACCGCCCCAGCCCCAGCCTGGCTCACCTCGGAGGGACCTGCTTGGGGACTGTCAGGGCAGTACTCAGAACAGAAAGCCAGTGGGGGGCATTGAGGGTCCTGCCTCTTTCACCAGCTCCGGAGGGGTCTGAGATCCTTCATCTCACCAGCAGGTCCCTGAACTCCCCATTCTTTTTGGTCCCTCATCTTAAGCTGCCTTCATTCCTTTCTCTGCCCTACTCTAATGGTCTGCTATCCTTATGGACCCTGTTTCTGCCCCTGTCCTACTCTGTGAGCTCAAAAGGGCAAAGACCATGGCTGTCTCAGAGGTCCTGGGAAATGCGCAATCCTTGAACTTGTGGGTGGATGAATGAACAGTGCCTCCCACCTCCCACCCCATCTCTGGTCTAGGAGCCAGGAGTGTAGGTCTGGCCCAGCTTCAGAGACTCAGAGACCCTGACCCAGTTCAGTCCTCAGGACTTCCTTTTCTGTGAAATGGAGCCAGTCACACTCGACTTCCACTGCTCAGTGTTCATCATCTCTTCTTTGGATGACCCAATGGCTGGACAAGTGCAGAGCTGGCCTCTTCCTGTGGCCAAGGAGCTTGCCAAGGGACCCTGGGGCCTTGGACTCTGCTGGGCTCCACATCAGCTGCCTGGGGCCTGGCTGCCAGCCCCAGGAGGGGCCCGGCTGCCAGCCCCAGGAGGGGCCCAGAGAGGGTGCTAACAGCAGTCCTGCCAAGAGTAAGAACAGAGTGGACACACAGAGCTGTGTGGCTGAGTCCCCTCTGCAGTTCTCCTGGGACCTCTGCTTAGGAAACACAAAGACCTCTTGTCCAGCCTCTGCCTGTTGTCCAAGCTGTTCCATGCAGCTTCCAGAGGCCTAGGTATCCCAGTGACCCAATTTGTGGGGCCCAGGCCTTAAGGTTCCAGTGTGGGGAAGTCTGTTTGGTCACTGGAGACCCAGACAACTCCCTTTACTTCTTCACCTTTTCAAGACATCAAACTTATTGTCACTGCTGTGCACTGCAGGAGAAAATATCCCTTTGATACCAAGATGAGGACTCAGGCCTGGCTTTAGCCTTTAGAAGACACACTAAGTGGCCAGTCCAGGGCTCTGTGACCCTGCTGTGGTTCAGAGTCTTAATTTACAGCCAAAGAAATTGCATCCCTGAGGTGCCCCATCAGGCAACTTCGTAAGGCCTGAGGAGCAGAGGAAAGCCTTCTCCTAAGTCTCACTGTCTTCGGTTCAGATTTCAGTCTTGCTTCCTCTCTCCTGTGACTTCTCCTGAGCCTCAGTCTCCTTTTCTGCAAAATGGAGTTAAATAGTCCTGACCAGCTGGCCTGTCTGAAGTTCTTTGACCATCACCCTGCGCTGGCCAGCTGGCCATGCCTTGAGGAATTAAAATTCCCTTTAGTGAGGGGCTGGAGTCTAGGTCCCCTGACACTTCCCCAGACCTTTTGGGGGTCCAGTAGGCTTCACATCCCTAGCAGAGTCCCCCTTCCTTGGGTTGTCTGGGAGCCCCCTTTCCACCTCAACTTGAACACTTTTGCCTTTATGTTTTATTTACATTTCCTGGTAAGAATTTGTTGAAAACACATAGAAGATTCTAAGGCTACGAGAATTTAGAACTATTGATCCAACCAGGAAATTGAAGGCCAATGAGTCACATAGCGAGTGCCACCTTAAGGGGTAGAACAGCATTGAGGGCGCCTCCGGGAACCAGGAAGCCAGAGCAGGCTAAATGGTGAGGCCCAGGCACAGTAAGTCCCCCCGCCCAGGTGGGTAATGGAGCCGTGGGAGCACAGGGGAGGTTTCATTAGCAGCTGCAGGTCAGGAGAGGAAAGGCAAAGCCCCAGCGTTCCCCTGCCTCCCCCAACCCTGTGCTTTAGGAGGCTTCTTGGCTCTCCACTCCTGAGGAGGCATTTGGCTCATGCAGGCTTCTCATCTTCCCTCTTCGACTTCTCTTACCTCCCTTGAGAAAACCTTCTGCTCTGAGAATCCATGCTGGGGGTGGAGCTCCTGGCTGGCCTAAGCTCCAGCTCTCTGTCACATGCTAGGTCTCTATCCCTCTTCACTGCCATCCCGTTTCACGCTCTCTTGTGGCTCCACCACTCTCAGAACAGCCCAGCTCCCCTTCAAGCCTCCCACCTATCTGCCTCCCCTCCTTCCTCTGACCTAGCACTGAGCCCTCACTCATCTCCTGCCTGGTGCTTGCTGCTCCCTCTACCTGCAGAACCCCTTCACGCAGGCCTGAGTTTGGCCTTCTCCTCTCGGCCTCCCACCCATCAATCATCTAAGAGTTAGCTCAGGGGTCCTGCCACTATTTCCCCTCTAAGGCGGATCTCTTTGAAGGAAGGGCTCCAGTCCATCCTGAACCCAGTGGAAAACCCAGCAGCCGGTACTCAACTCCATGAGGATCTGTTGTGAGTGAATGAGAAAGAACTATATATAGTGGCCCACTTCTTTGAGCTGGTCATTGTGTGAAGGCATCTCACTCAATCCTTGCCAGGACCCTGTGAGATAAGTGTTACCATCCCCATGTTTGATATAAAGAAACTGAGGTTCAGGAAGTGGAAATGAAAGTCCAAAGTCATGCCTTGAATGTGTGGTGGGTCCCTAGGCCCTGGAACAGCAAAGGAAGGCCCTGCTGAGTTCTTAGAGAATGGCTGGGCCATGGGTTGGAACCCACTGTGGGGGGTTCCAGTTACACAGAGCCTTGTGTTCCTTGCTCTCTGGATTGCTGCGTGGGCCTCTACAGTCCTCCCTCCCTCCCTCACTGAGGAAATTGTGCTCCTCGGGTTTCCCAGTGGGGGGCCAAAGCTCCCATGCCAAATGCAGCCTGAAAGCTCTTGGCATGCCAGGATGCAGGCACCCAAGGGAGGCAACCCTGGGAAGCAAGAAGCCTGGTCAGGCTTGGGCAAGCTTCCACTTTACCTCTTCCCATCTGGACCAGCTAGCTACATAATTAGTAGGACCTAGGGCAGAATGAAAATGTAGGCTTCTTGTTCAAAATTTAATAACAATTTCAAGGCTGGGGATGTAGCTTGGGTTAGAGTGCTAGCTTAGCATGCACAAGGCCCTGGGTTTGATCCTGAGCACCACAAATAATAATAACAATTTAAAAAACAATCTCGAGATAATGACAGATAGTGCTTTAAAGTATGAGCCCTTGCTTTCCTCATCTGTCAAATGGGAGAATGGTAGGCACCTGCCCAGGCAGGGTGAGGATGAGGTAGAAATAAGGAGAAAGTGCAGTGAACAAACAGCATGAGGTTCAGTAGGGGACCCCATGGGCACCACTTTTTGTTGTGTTTCAGCACTGGGCAGTGGATGAATTCTTGCCAGGAGTTTGATTCTTTGCAGCAGTTCTTTTCACTGACCCAATCTATGTCTCAGAAGTAAAGTGACTTGCTTAGAGTTGCACAGAGACTTAGTGGGTAAAGACAGGATCAGAGCCCTGGCCTGTCTCTCTGCAAAGCAGTTGGTACTTCTCACAACGCAGGAGGGAAGCAAAGAGGGAGAGGGAAAGAGAGAAGGGCAGCAGGAATGGGGGTGGCTGCTCAGTACAAAGAAGGCCACTGTGCAGACACAAAGGCATGACCACAGAGGCCCTGCGGGGGCTGGGCCTAACAGATGGATGGAGCTGTGTGACTCTAGCCATGGTAACTGGAGGAGCTGCCAGGAGCTGCCTCTCAGTCCCTCCCTGGTCATAGTGGAGGTGGAGGGTGACATGCAGGAGTCAGGAAATGGGTCAGCAAGGAGAACCAGAATCAGGGTCAGGCCTCCAGAGACAGAGCTGCCCATCCCACCTGTCTGCAGCTCCTCCTGGGCAGTCTGTCTCACACCACTCACCACCTCAGTGATGGTAGGCTCAGGCAATTGACCTGACTGTACCAATCCCATCATCCACAGGAGGGTGAAACCTAAGCCTCTCGGTGTATCATTCAAGGCCCTTTGTGATCTGCCCCATGCCCTTCCACACTCACCTGGCCAACTCCCCATAACCTGCCCACAAAGTCATATGGGCCATCCCACTATTCTAAACACTGCTTTGTCCTCACACACACAGCCCTCTGTTTGCCCAGGCATTTTCTTCCTCCTGGGGTCATCCTTCCCATGCTGCATGTGGGCTGAAATCCTACCTCTTCATAAACCAGCCAAATGCCACTACCCCTGCCAGCCAACCTTCCTCCACCACCACAGTCAGATTTAACCTCATTCATTAAGGTGTCTGCCACAAATATTTGATTTACCCACTGTCTTCAGTGATCACCCCACCTGGCTGTGTTGTGGTTGTCTGGATTCACGAAGCTGGTCTGGAAGGTGGGTAGCATTTGACGTGGGCCTTAGAGAGCAGGTGGACTGCACTAAGGGTGGCATTGGATAGCAAGGAACAAGAGCACAGAGAAGCAGTGACACCAGCGTCTCTCAAACATTTTTCTGAATCAGTCTGCTTCCTGATTTCAGATAGCAAGGAGTCCAGCATGGTAGGAGTTGAGAGTACAGGGTTGTTGTCAAGGGATAAAGTTTAGAGGATCACAAAGAGCTGTGTATGGTGGTGTGTGTGTGTAATCCCAGCACTTGGGAAGTCGAGGCAAGAGGATCTTAAATTTGAGGCCAACCTGGGCTGCACAGAGAGACCCAAAATAAACATAAAATACACCTGAATTCTACGGCTTGCCAATAATTAACTTCCACTTTTTCTTTATTATTTTCTTCTTACTTTTTTTTTTTTTCCCCTCTTTGGCAAGACTGGGGTTTAAACTCAGGGCCTCACACTAGCTAAGCAGGTGCTCTTGACATCTGAGCCACTCCACCAGCTCTTTTTTGTGATTTTTTTTTTTGAGCTAGGGTCTCATGAACTGTTTGCTGGGACTGACTTTGAACTACAATCCTGATCTCTGCCTCCTGAGTAGCTAGGATTATAGGCATGAGCCACCGGCACCCGGCTCCTCTTAATTACTTTGAGATAGCTTTCTTTGGTCTTTTTCATGGAAGTAAATGCCTATTTTGGTTGTCATTCTTTTTGAACAATGTAAACATTTAAGGC